TATTGAATGTGAGTGTCAACCAGGATGGTACTCAAAACATAGTTCTGATTGTAGGAGATACTCTACAAAGTTAATAGTATTAACAATATTTCTTCCTGGTTTAGGAATATATATATTCTTTGCTTTAGTTTTATTAGTTATAAATTCTATTAAATATTCTCTCTTAATAGACAGGATTAAATTTGAATTAAATCAACAAAATATTATTTTCAGTGATGCTATAATTCCATTTGACTCTTCTGATTGTTATAAAATACCTGTTTTAAATGAATATTTTAATATTCATCCACAATCTATCAATTTTATGAATAACAAAACAGATATAGATATAGGTGTTGTTGTTGAGTCAACTTGTGTTATTACTAACTTTTCAAATGAAACAATGAACTTTATCTTTCATGGCAAAAAAGAATCGAAATATGATTTAGTTTTTACTCCATGTAGAGGTGTGCTTAGAAAGGGTCAAAACAAAGAAATTAAAATACAATTGTTGATGCATTGTACTACAATTCTTAGTGAAGAAATTAAAGTTACTATTGGCTTTTCTCATTTTAAAAAATTAATGAATAATTATCAACACCAACTTAGTTTAAATGGAACAAAACTAGATAAATCAAATAAATCTCAACGTTCATTTAGGTCATCATTCTCTAGTATTTCAAATCAAAACTCAACCTCATCTGATGAAGTTACTGTAAAACCATCAAAAGCAAAACGATTTTATGTAACTTTAACTTTAGAAGCTCAAAGTAATTTATCATATAAATTAAATATTAATGATATTACTACCTATCAACCTCCAATAGGTGAAGGAACATTTGGTATTGTTTATAAAGGACATTGGAGAAGTCTAGATGTTGCTGTAAAAATTATTAAAACTGATATTGTATCTATTGCTGATCTCATACAATCTTTTACTGAAGAAGTTAAATTATTAGAAAAACTACGTTCTTCATGCATAGTTTCATTTATTGGGTATTGTGCTGATGAAGAAACAGTATGTTTAGTATTAGAATTTTGTCCATTAGGTTCATTGAAAAAATATCTTCAATCAATGCCAACTTCAGTTCATCTTAAATTACGTTTTTGTCAAGACATTTCTCGTGGAATGTTATATCTCCATGAAAATAATATTATCCATAGAGATCTCAAAACTGACAATGTGTTGGTTTCAAGTGATAATCCTTATGATGCTGTTGTGTGTAAAGTTAGTGATTTTGGAACTTCAAAATGTTTTATTGAACAATCAAATCTAAAAGAAAAAAAAGATATTGGAACGCCAATGTATATGGCTCCAGAAATTCATTCAGAAGGAATACTCAAACTTAAATCAGACGTATTTTCATTTGCAATTTGTATGTTAGAAATATGGTTAGGAAAACCACCATATAATAGTGATGAGTTTCCTAATGCAGAATCAATTTTTAGATTTGTTTGTGCAGGGAAACGACTTCATATTCCTAAAAAATGTTTATATCATGATATGATCAAGAAATGTTGGAAAGGAACTGTTGACTCTCGACCTTCTTTTAAAGATATTGAAGAATACTTTGAGGAGTTAGTACAAACTGTTCGAGAACATAAAGACCAGACTTAATAAAAACAATAAAATAGAAGTCTAAAGTCATAACATATAACTTACACAATAATTACTTTGATAAATGAGTAAAACATGAATTTTAAACATTGTTTAATAAAACCTGTAATGTTAAAGAGTAATTTTCATTTAAATTATTTTAAGTTTAATACAAAGTAAATGGTTTGTGTAATTTAAATTCATTAAGAATCAAGATAAAGAATTAAGAAATACCAAATAAATTAGTATTTAAATCTTTTCAAAAAAAAAAATAAAAATAAATTAATTTAAGTCTTTAAAGAGTAGAGTAATATAGTCTTACAATTTATATAAACATTAAAATCAAAAATAAATTTGATAATTTACTATAAGACTTAATAGACTTTCAATTATTTATTATTCTTGTCTCAATAAATTATTGTTTAAGAAACAAAAGGCATATTATTCACTTCATTCATTTAAACATTTATAATTGATAAATAATTTTAATTGAATGATATTCATTAAAAAAATATATTAATCACTTTCATTATCATTTACTTATAAAAGAAATTTATTTCATTGTTTAAATTTCTTTACTTCTTTAATACTATAATTTCATTAATAAAACTACAACTAAAAATGTGTAAAAACACAGTTGATAATAGTTCCACGACTAAATTACATTACAGATAATTCTGGTGGTAAAATAGAACTAATAGTTAAACCAGAGGATAAAGTTTCATGTCTTAATGGAAAAACAATTCCTTCTTCTTTTTTGTTTTGTAACAAATAATTTAATTTAAATTGTAAAGATGAAATGTCATTTTTTAAACTATCCACTTGGTATATTAAAATACTTTTTTCTCCTTCTAGTTTATAAATAACTCCTTGCATTTTAGCAAGTTCAATCTTACTAACCTCTTTATTTATTTTTTCTTCATTAAGTTGTTTTCTTAAATTTTCTATTTCTTTGACGTACTGCAAATTTTCTTCACTTAGACATTCAATTTTTGTTTTTAATTCTTTTTTTTCATTTTCCATTTGTTCACTTTTTTCTAGTGCAAGTTTCATTTGAACGTATTGATCAACATTGATATTAACATTAACTTCTTGCATGGATAAAATAGTCTTTTTTAAGTTTTTTATAGAATAAATTAATAAAATTAATACTTTTATTATAAACAAAACTAATAACTTTTAATTTAAAGTATCAATTTAAATAGGATGTCAAAAAACTAAAATGTCGTTTTTACATCTTTTCTAATGGCTCTAATCCAAGGAGTCTTAAGCCATTTCCTAAAACAATTCTTGCACAATAGAAGAGGAATAATCGAGCTTTAGCTATTTCTGGTTCACTTCCTTTAACCCTAAGAGTAGAGAATGCAGAAGCAATGACATGAGATAATTCAAATAAATAAGAAACAAGTGTATTTGGTTCAAGATTACGATAAGTGTTCATAATAACATCACCAAACTTAGCAATGTTCATTATAAGATTTTCTGCTTCTTTTTCTGTTAATAATGAGAAATTAACTTCTGAAGCCTTTGGAATTTCAATTCCTGACTTTCTTTCAACACCACAACATCGTGCATGAGCATATTGTAAATAAGGTCCAGTATATCCTTCAAATGAGGTCATTCTTTCTCTATTATATTCATAATCTTTAATTCTTTTAGCATTAAAATCTTGAACAAAAACAGCAGAAACTCCAATCTTATCAGCAACTGCTTCACGTTCATTTTCATCAATCTCTGAAATCTTTTCTGGATTCTTTTGCATATTTTCTAACATTGTAGCTTTGGCATCATCAAGAATGTCTTGTAAAAATACAGCAGTACCTCTTCTAGTAGACATACCCATAACCATACCAAAACTAATATGATAACACTCTTTAGCCCAACTGTACCCTAATAATTCAAGTATCTTAAATAATTGTTTAAAATGTAATGTTTGTTGTGTGGCAACAACATAATAACATTTACTAAATGAATAGGTGTTATGTCTCTTAATAGCAGAAGCAATATCACGAGTTAAATAAAGAGTTGATCCATCATCCTTTTTTAATAAAGCAATACCTAATTTATATTTTTCTAAATCAACTATGAGACATCCTTTATCCATTTTAGAAATACCTTTAGCTTCAAGGTCTTTTAGAACTTGATCAACTAAGTCCCAATCAGTCTCACTTTCTCCAGTAAAAACATCAAATGAAACATTTAATCTTCCATATGTCTTCTTAAGGTCTTCAAGGGCTAATGATCTAAATAACTTCCATTTTACAAGATAAGCTTCATCTCCCATTTCCATATGTTTAAAGAAATCCTTACCTTGAGCTCTAACATTATCATCTTTAGCTTTATCAGCATTAATTTTAACATAAACATCATATAAATGTCTAATTGGATTACGTTTTAATTCTTCTTCACTTCCATATTTCTCAAATCCAATAGCAAGAAGACCAAATTGACTTCCCCAATCTCCTAACCAATTCATTGAAATAACATTAAATCCAAGAAGTTTATGAATATTTGCAATGAAATTACCAATAATAGTAGAACGTAAATGTCCTGCATGGAAAGGTTTAGCGATATTAGGAGATGAAAATTCGACAATAACATTTTGTCCTTTTCCTAATGTACTTCCACCAAATTTCTCTTTTTCTTCAGCAACTTGATTAAGAATCATCTTAGTAAGAGCACTTTTATTTATTGCGAAATTTAAGAATGGACCAGTAACAGTAACCTTTGAAATAATATCATTTGGCTTAATTTGTTCAGCCAATTGAGAAGCAACAACACTAGGATTTTTTTCTTCGGTTTTCATTTGTCTAATAATTTTTGCTACAGGAACAGAAAAATCTCCAAGCTCTTTCTTTTTACATAATTCAACTGATCGTTCAGCAAAATCAATTGGAATACCAGCAACAGTAGAAATTGTTTCAGCAATTGATTTCTTGAAAGGTGAAAGCATTGAATGATAATATTATTTATTTTAAAAACCCTATTTCTTTTTTAATGGGATATTAATCAAAATAACAAAAATTTGTTCATTCATATAATGGTATCAGTATAAATAGAAATTAATAAGAACTTCAAAAAAAGATTTTTTTTCAGATTTTTTTTATATAATGGGAAGTGAAAGATAAAATAGAAACCTGAATAATACAAGAAAAATATCTAAGAAAATAAGGAAGAAATAATGGAAAAGTTAAATTCAAATTAATTTTCTTTAAGAAGAAATTGGTTCATGAGAACTGTAAATTCTATTGTCTCTTATGGGCTGTTCAAGGATCACTCAAAAACTATTTTTTACAGTTTTAGAATGGGCAGTACTTATTGCTACAATAGTTTCAATTATTTTGATTACAACATCTGTTATTTCCTTTGTTCTTATTCCTCCTATGGGAAAAACAGATATGGAAACAGTTACAACCGATATTATCAGAAATGGAACACAACAAGTTGTCAACGTTATTAATCAACATACATCATCTCATTCTAAACCAGTTAAATCATCATTTGTATTAAGTAATCTTCCACCAGTAAAATTCCAAGGAAAAAGATCAACGTGTTGGGCTTTCAGCACTATTTTCCAATTGGAATATGCATATAATAAAGATTTATCAAATAAATATATTTCATTAAATGAACAAGCCTATGCTATTGATGCAGTTGAAGCTTGTAAGGCTGATGATTATAAAGGATGTCCAAAAAAGAGATTTGATTATAGTACAAATACAGGATATCCACAATTTTTATGGAGATATTCATCTCTTTCTAATAAAGTCCTTCCAGAATCTATTTGTGAATATCAAACAAATAAAGATAATGAATGGAAATGTGACGGAAAAGAGCAAGCACAAAAAACAAATGCATTAAAATTTGATGTTAAATCAATTGCTACTTTTAGAACAATTGAAGAATTAAAAGAAGCTGTCAAACAAGGACCAGTTTCTCTTGTATTAGTTTTGGTTCAAGGACAATATATTATTCAAGTAGATAATAAAGATAATATTCTTGGTAAGATTCCAGGTGCGGAAATTAAAGAATGTCCAGAAAATTCAAATCTCTGTGTTTATATTCCATCTGAACGAATTACTAATGATGGAGAATATATTATTCCTGAAAGAGCAAATAATAGATATGGATATCATGTTGTTACTATTGTTGGGTATAATGATAATTATATTACTAAAGATAATACCCGTGGAGCATTCATTATTAGAGATTCTACTGATGATACTCTTGTTTATGGTAGTCATTCATATCAATACCTTAAAGGAGAACATAGTGAATGGGATGAACGTACTCTTTGTGCTAATGTTTATAATCCACTTGGATGGGACTCATGTGTTTTTATGAACCCAGGACCAACTGGAGATTCTAAAGTTGTTAAATATGATTTAAAAGCAACTTGTTTGAATGAAAAGTATATCAAAGAGAATGTATTAAATACAAGAAAACCAACTGAATTTAAATGTATTAATAGTGATTTTTGTGATACTACTAAACGATATTTCATTTCATCAACTTCTCGATCTCAACATTCTTCATATCTCTTTACTATTACATTCTTAGAAGTTAATCCAAATAATACTGATGAACAAAAAGAAATTACATTCACTGATTTCCCATTAGATTCTTATAATAAATTCATTCAACCAATTGATTCTCAAATTGAATTAATTCAAACAAATACCACATTTTGTGGATATCGTTCTCTTCCTTATATCGTTCTTGATAAGATTTCTATGGCTAAGACTCAAGACAGCTATTATGGAGTTCAATTCAACATTGAATGGGACAAACAGTCATATCCTAACAATGGTGAATTTGACTATTCACAAATACTTAAAAGTATTCATGAATTCCCAGAATATAAAGGATTCCTTGGACCAGAGCCATACCAAGTACGATATGAAGATTAAAAATTTCATTTATCTTGATTAAATTGAAGAAAGAATAAAGAATTGTTTTTATTGGTCTTTTTTTTTGGAATGTTTATTATATAATGTCTTTTTATAGTAAATTTTTTATTAATTACAAAAACCTTAAAATAGATATTCGACAATTAAAAATAAACAAAAAGTAAAAACAATTAAAAGTATAAATTAAAGGGTTAGCTTAGAACTATTTTAAGCTAAAAAATTAACTTGAAAGAAGGAAAGGTAAAAACGAATAAAAAAAAAATTTTTAGAACTAAAAATTTTCAGAAATAAGAAATATGAGTATTTCTGCAAGTCTTGTGAAAGAACAAGAAGAACTTAAGAAAAGAGTTGACGAATTAACAAAACAAATTTCATCTATTAAGAAAGAAGCAAATGAGGGAATTGATTTTGATAAAAGAATGATGGATTTGTTAGAAATGAAACAGTACTTAGGAACAATTAAAGATAACTCTGAGTTAAAAAAGATTTATATAACAAGTGCAAAGACTAAAAAAGAAAAGAAAGGAAATTATAAAATGACTTTAAGAAGACAAAAAGCTCTTACACTTAAAACGAATGATAATGAACCTATGTATAATGTTATTGAAATTCGTAAACAATTTGCCATTGATAGTGTAGCAAGAGAAATTGAAAAGATGGCAAGAGACCAAGTTATTGATGACCCTAATTTCACTAATTCTGTTGATAAATTAATTCAGTCATTAGCAGAACAACTTGATACTGATTGTAAAACAAATGATGTCAATGATTTATTAAAAACATTCGACGTTAATTCAGTTGCATTAAGAAAAACTTCAACAATGTTTAAAGTAACTTCAAGGTTATTCTCAATGGAACCAATTGTTGAGGAAGAGACTATTGCTGATGACGCTGAATATGAACGAATTGCTCTTTGTGAAAAACTTACTTTTACTGATATTATTAAAAAAGTTGCTGATTTTTCTGTGTCAATGGAAGACGCTATTTGTTTGAGTGCTGTTATGTTAGGGAAACCACATGATGATTATTCAGGAGATTTTTTTGACGTATGTTCCCAAACAATAGTGAATATTACAGAATTATCTACTAATATTATAGCATTATTTGAAAGATTATCAAAGTTGAGAGGAGATGAGGAAGTGAGAAAGAGTTATGAGGTTGAATTAAAAGCTTATATAGATATTGTAG